GGGCCCGGGCAGCCCCCGCTACCCCCGTAGGCCTCGCTCTGGGGGGTCCTGTCGGCTCCTGCCCCCCCCCAGCAGGCCTCATCCCGCGGGGGGGCCCTGTCGGTTCGTGCCCCCCGCAGGCCTCATCCCGCGGGAGGGGCCCGTCGGTTAGTCCCCCCCCAGCAGGCCTCACCCCGGGGGGGCGATCGCCTCTTGCGCCCCCACGAGGCCTTACTCGCGGGGGGGGACAGGCCCTGCCCCCCAGCAGGCCTTGCTGCCGGGGGGGGCGTTACAGGCGGGTCCGGCCCCCCCGGCTGGTTGCGGGTGGGGGGGGGCCGGGGGGAGCCCCCTCGGAGGCACCCACCGGGAAAGGGGCAGTCGCCGGTGGCCCCGGAGGCAGCGCTGGGCCCGGGGCTGGGTGCGGGCGCCAGTGAGTAAAGGTCGCCCGACAGCCACGGCCCCGGTTATCCATTGACGACAGCCACCCCCGGGCCGCCAACCGGGCACGTCACCGGCGAAACCGAAACAGCCCTGGCCCCGTCTCAGCCCCTGGCGCTGGGTGAAGGGCTGCTCTCCCAGCTCCTGGCCCGGGAGGCCCGGGTCCCTCTGCTGTCCCAGGAGCCATGACCCCCCCGCGGGGAGCACGGGCCCTGCCTGACGAAACTCGCTGTCACCGTCACCGCTGTCACTTCAGCCTCCGCACCCCGAGCGGTGGCAGTTCCCCATGGCCTTGCGCAACCCCTAACGAGGCCGTGGGGCAGCAGCTTCCGTTTCATCCCCACCGTGAGCTGTGGTGGGCCAGGAGGGCCCTATTGCCGTGGTGGCACCAGCCCAGTGACAGTCAGTTGATCTCTTGCTGTCCCAGTGGTGGGACAAAACCAGTGCGGCCCTGGATAAAGGCAGTGGGCGCAGGGGGCTGTGCCAGTGGGGCAGGAGGAGACCCCAGGCCCTCCCCTCTGCTGGGGCGGCTGGTTGGCAGCCCCATGGCTTCTGCCCCCTCCGGCCCCATCTGTCCCAGCCTGATGGGTCCCCCTCTGCCCCTCAGGGACAGGCGGCTCGTGCCACTTGCTGGGCTGGTTGGGCTCCCACGGGTGCCAGGGCAAACAGCACCGGCCAAGCCAGCCAGACTGGGGGCTGGCGGAGGGGGCAGAGCAGGAAGGGGCGAAGAGGAGGAGGAGGAGGAGGCCCCGCAGGGAGCTTCGCGCTGCGGAGCCTCCTCTGGGGACGTCATTACGGGCACTAATAGTAGCCTGGCACAAAGACGCTTTCCAGCTGCCAGCAGCTCTCCCGTGGGGTTGGGGCCTCCCCGGGGGCAGCCCCCAGTCTCGCAACAGCCCGCAACGCTTGCACCAGCTGGGCCAGGAGGCAGAAACCTCGCAGAGGTGGCAGAAACCGAGCAGCTCACTGCTCCTGCTGCTCCTGCTGCTCCTGCCACTCGCTCCGCGCGGTTCCGGCAGCTCCTCCGCCGTATGACAGGAGCTTTGGGAGCTTGTAAGGGCTTCAGCGTCCCCCCCCGACACCCACCCCTCTCCTCTTGCAGCTTGATCCTCTGTGAAGCGGCCGGTGGGCCCACTCCGAGCCCAGCACCATGAACATCTTTGACCGAAATATCAACTTTGACGCCCTCTTCAAGTTCTCCCACATGTGAGTAACACCTTGAGGAGGCCAAGCTTGAGTTGGGGGTTTGGGGGGGGGGGCTGCGTCAGCCTCACCACTGCTCTCCTCGTGCGCAGCTCGGCCTCCACCCAGGAACACCTGAAGAGGGTCTACGCCAGCTTCGCCCTCTGCATGTTTGTGGCGGCCGCAGGGGCCTATGTCAATGTGGTGACCCACCTCTTCCAGGTGAGGGACCTTTGGGGTGTCGTGGCTGGCCCCCCTACTCACATCCCTCCCCCCACGCTGCCCTGGTGAGGTGGTGCCAGGCCCCCATCTCCCTCTTGCCCCACAGTTCAGCTTCCTGACCGGCCTGGGTGCCCTGGGGCTGATGGTCTGGCTGACGGCCACCCCGCACAGCCGGGAGACAGAGCAGAAGAGGCTGGGGATGCTGGCTGGCTTCGCCTTCCTGACAGGTAGGGGGGCACCAGGGACCCTTCTGCCTCCTGTGGGGTCCTGAGCCCTGGGGAGGTGGGGGACAAGGACCCCAACGCGGTGCCAACCAGCTCTGACTCCGGTGACACCCTGTTGTGTCCTTCCAGGCACCAACCTGGGGCCCCTCCTGGAAATATGCATCTCCATCAACCCCAGGTAGAAGTGTTCCCCCCCCGGCAG